ATTTGATAAAGTAACATCAAACGTTAAGAGTTTAAATGTGATTTTATATTGTACATACTAAATAATGAAATTAGTTTATTTCTTTCTAAAGAGTATCGAAGTATCTGCGCCGCTAGTGTAGTGGTATCATGCAAGATTCCCATTCTTGCGACCCGGGTTCGATTCCCGGGCGGTGCATATGTTTTGGTTATTGGTGTTTTTGGTATAGATTGCATACATAAATACAAGCATCATATTCAACTTATTTACTTGTTCTGTTGAGCGTACATTGAGAGCAACTAAACACAAGAGTCAGCTTCTTTATATCTAAGGATGCATAGTGGTTGTTCAGAATTTATATTCATACATGTGTGAGAAAGTAATGTAACTAATGGGCCTACTAAGCTATTTGCACAGGGCCGCATTTTGATGCTTCAATCCTGTGTAAAGGTCATACATTTTTTTATTTTAATATTATTAAGGGCCATTTCAAATAATGCTGCAATGTTCATAGGTCAACAGATATTAGCCTTTTTACTCTGTTTCTTTCTGTTCTTCTTTCATAGCTGTATGATCACAGGGGTCTGACATGCATTAAAACGAACTGGGTCTAGCTAGTTTGTCCCCGGAGCATTTCCTGTCTGGAGATGGATGGATGCCCAGAGACTCTAAAGCTTAAGCTCTGATGCTGCCAGTGAGTAAGTCAGCTCTGTTTACGTCTAAAATGATTTCTGTTTCTACTTTAGATGATTACTGAGTTGCCATTTTGAGCCCCGGTGATCATCCTTGTTTAGAGCTTTGAAAGTGCGAGGCATGATACATGTGGATAGTACATTAATGGACTTATTGTAACCTTCTGGCTTGTGCTGTTCTTCCTCTTTTTCTTTCTGATTAGACGATTATTTTCTTGATCATGATGATGTCTAGACTGAGGAGTCTTATGAGCAGCTGTCACCAAAACATTTCCTTTGAATGGTTTGAGGCTGACCCAAGACCAGCTGAGAAGAGGTGGCAAAGAGCAGCGGTGAGGACACTCATGTAATTCATCATAACCAATATCAACTGTCATGCTACCAAGTCATTCAACTAACCAATTCAAATGTGAAGCAAGCATTACAATATTATCTTATATATTTAAAAAAATAGGAATATGTTTTTCTTGAATGAGGTGTGCATCTTTTGTTAATTTGTTTTAAAATGAAAGGAAACAAGTTTATTTTTTATCAAATATACTTACTGTATTTGTGGGCCTGTACACGTATTAAGAAACAGGATTATAGCATTAAGATATAAAGAGGAGATACAACACAAGTCAAACAAGAGTAGGAGTAAAACTAAAACAATCATCTCACTTTTTACTAAAAGATGTACATAATCTAGTGGATATGTGTGTGCCTTTTTTTCTGTATTGGTGGTCATTTCTACATGTGTACACAACCAACTATGTTATGTAAGTGCCTTGATTTACCAAGAACAGTTAAGCTGTAAACGCTTAACAACCCTTTATGTGTCACTATCAACTCTGTGTTTACTGATTATTGTGACTGGGAACTTTCATGCTAAGTCATTTGCATTGCCTTTGGCTTTATATAACCTGGTTTTTGCATTGCCTACTTACCTACTACAGTAGAACAGTACTCTTATATCAGAGACTGTGTAACTTGACTGAATCTGGCTTAAAATCTAATCTCGACTTCCCCAGGTAACCGGTAACATGAGATCCTTAGCCAAATATTTCCTGGTCACGTGTGATACAATTCTCTCTCAGTCAGAGCTGCCTTTGAAGCCAGATGTGAAACCCCAGAGTCTTCCTGTCTTGCTTTAAGCAGGACCTCCCCGCATCTTTCCCCAAAACCTGTGTATCTATTTAATATATTCAAAACCCTGAATCCTAGACTAATCAGCCTTAATTTCTCTTCTTTATCTTCCCAAACCAGGTGGCTTTGTGGGTCTTGGCTGTAATTAAAATAATGCAAATGGGGTAATCCTGTAAGACAAATAATTCTTCCTCCATTAATAAAAACACCCTACCCGTTTTCTTGTGTACTGAAATATTTTGCCCTGAATAAACCAGCAGAGCCCTCCCCACAGAGACATGCCTGTCAGACAGCCAGTTAGGAGGAGTTATTTCACAGACAGATGCATTGCTTTTGCTGAGCAGCAGACTGAAAAGGATCCTAGAGATTGAGTGAGAAAACAACGAGAGCAAGTGAAATTAGTGCCATGTATCTTACTGATTTATAAGCCAATTATTTGTGTAGTAACGGATGGATTTGGAGATGAATTTATCATACCTTTTTTAGAAGTCCCATCTTATTGGTAACCTTGGCGAGGTGTAGACATAAAATGAAAGCTACTGCAATAGTCCAATTCAGCCTAAACATATTCTTCATTTCAGAATTTACAATTATAACAACATTTTAAATAACTTCTAAATAAGTTTAGTACTTTATGAAGTCCTTAAACTAATAGGCCCTCGTCTTAATGTGAATTCAGGATGCAAAATTGCACACACACACACACGCACACAAAAACAGGTTCAGCAGGTTTTAAGAAATGCTCCAAACTCATAAACACTGACAGCAGAGCTTTGATGAGGTCAGCTCTGCCTCTGTGGCAGAGAGGAGAGGAGAGGAGAGGAGAAATTGACCATATCATTTTGCGGCATTTAGATGTTACTTTGAGTTATTTTAGTCTGCTTCTCATTATGTAAATTCATAAACTATTTATAATGTTTGCTCAAGGATCTATATATACAATGTTCTACTGTGCAAATATTGCGTGAGTGTGTTCCAAACAAACTACACTTTCATCTGTTGCACTGAAATATGAAGGTGAAACAACACAATGCCTACAAAACAGGGATTTTCTGGGGAACTGATAATGCATGTGGTGCACACACACACTGCGTTTGGCCACTTAACAAACATCCTTGTGTTTGTAAGTGTCTAAAAGAGTCTGACGGCCATGCAAACATCTGATGGCGTCTGCAGCCAAAGACACAAACAGACGACTCATTCAGGAGCAGAGTAAAGTCTGGAGTCAGGGACCCTTTCCCTGCTGCAGATCCCTGGCTTGCAAAGGTCCACTGCATCAATCACACTTGTATTTTATTAGCAATAACATCCATATGAATTAAATCTTGAAAAGACAATTAAAGCAAATAAACAGTTTTGGCAAAGAAAGAAGTGGTTCGTATTATAAGTAGCACATCCTGAAAAAAACACAGTTGGCATAATATTAATATGTTCCTTGAGAATTATTCACATTGTCTTCTAGCTTATTCAGTGAACTACTTCCACTAAAGTATGGAGCTTTACTGCATCCAATGTAATAATAGGATGTTGTTAGACATCACAGATCAAAAATACTACTTCATTTTACAGATGATATCTCAGGTACAAGGCATTGAAGATATGTTGGCTTCATAGTGGAAGCATCATGGTGGGCATGCAGGGAATTTTCTGACAGAGCCAACATCAGTTACTAAGCTTAAAAAGTAAATGTCTTTGACAACTTCAGTTTGTTAAACAGGATAATCATAAACCCCATTATTACAGATCAAACAGCCATGTAAAATATATTTTGTGCATGAATACAACCGAAAAATCTCCCCAAATGTGCAAGAAACAGTGAGATGGATAGCAAGAGTCCATATCAATCAAATGAAGTATAGAGAGAAAAAGATGATGATTTTAATTTGCAGTGAGAAATGAAAATGTGAATTGCTCAAATGAACAAGCCTCTCAACCAAAGTGAAACAAAAGCCCGAACTGGATTCTCACAGGTGTGGAGTCTCTGCTGGTAGGTAAACCACTTTGTTCCAAAAAGCATTTACAACACTGACCCTGTATCAAAAGAGAAAGACTAAAGCATGCAGTTGGTGGGTTTATCATTAATCCAGTAGGTATCTTGAAACAAGGGAATAAAAGTAAATGTGGAGTTAACATTAAAAAGGCTAAAAATCATTGCATTCTAGGCCCTTACAAATGGGTAAGTAATGGCAAGTCACCGATATGATTAATGGCATTTAGATCATGTTCTCTGGATTTATTTGTGGGAAATAAGGGTTTAAGCAAACTGCAGAGAAAATCTTCTACATGCATTTTATCGGCAAATTCCATAATTGTTACACCCAGTTTGTTTAAATGTGAGTTGCAGATCTTTTGACCTGATATTCCGTTTCCCCATTAAAATCTGGAGGTTTTCATAGGAGTGTTCAGGCCGACTCTTTATTTGTAAGCACTGCAGTTTTGTGATTTTGTGTTAGCCTACTTATTTACCTGACTCAAGTAAACAATTTAAAATGTGTGAATGATGTGCTTCCTAACCTTTGAACTGCTTTGTGGAAACATTTTATTTAGAGACATTATTTCTAAAGATGTTGAAAAGACTTGTTTTATACATCCATGGTGGTGTTAGAAGTCGCGGTGCATTAAAGGAACATATGGCATTTCTCGGATTTAGCGAGTTTGTCGCTAACTTTACAAACAGGTTGATGAGAAAAATATTAATGTCCTTGTTTCTGTAGTTAGATTAAATAATCTAACTTTTCTTGTGGTCTTTGCACTATTTGCAGGGCCATTCCACGGCAGCTGTTTTTTTACCTCTGTGTGTTTTCCCAGCAGCAGTTGAAGGCGCCATGAAAGCCCGATCCGGAGATCCAGGCGCCGGGAGGACTCTTGTGTTTCCACGCCTCCCACTTTCACCCCCATTGTGGTGAATCTCCGGCTCACACACACTTTGCCAGACTTCCAGGAGTTGGAGTGACTAACCGAGGACGGAACACCGACAACGTGAAAAAAGAAAACTCGTGTCTTGTTTCCCGCATGGATCTACTTTCTTCTCTGGAAGGGTTTCGTGGAGCTGCAATGGTTTGCGTTGCTGGGAATGTTGGAGACTTGTACCAAAGATAAATGGCACACGTTCTCTACGTTGCAAAGTTGTAAAAGTAGTTTCGCTTGAAGTTTTTTTTCCGCCACCAGCTCAGACTTCGTGTTTCTCCAGGACCCACAGCCATCATGGCGAGGAGGACGGGGGAGAAACCGCTGCTTTTGACGCCGATTACACGCGCTGCTTTTCGGGATAAACGCCTTCGGTTTCACAGGGGCTTGTTGGCTTTTTCGTGGAGCTTCGTTTTAATATGCTTGGCTCTTTCATGTGGATATTGCAGAGCAGAGACGGAGTTTTCCATCCTGGAAGAAGCTCAAGTTTTGGCCGATCAGATGAAAAGGCTGTCCTCACAGGAGCTGGGAGTCTTTACTATGCAGGTAAACGTTGGGGAGAAATGTGTTAAAATCGTGTGCGTGTAAAACTGAAAGATATTCCTCCGTCGCTTAGTGTTAAAGGGATTTAAATAGTCAGACTGATTTAAACAGCATAGTAAAACGATAATCATGGAAACTTTGTTGACAGAATATTTTTTACAATCTTACCAAACAATGAGCTATTTTGTCTCCAGTCCAACCACAAGTGCTTTGAAGTTGGGACCCATTTATCTGGGACAGCTACACGCTGGAGATTTGGTGTTGTGGGGGGCTTGTGTTTCTCCTTTATTATACCATGAGCTGCTGAAAAGCGATTGTTTTATAAAAGGTCAGATGTGTGTGGGATTGCATGTGTCTGCTGAAAAGGTGAAAACATTGTCGCCTACATTGATCACCATGAAAATCAGCCTGCAGTAACATTTGGTTGTGGATTGGCCCTTATCCAACATTATACCTGTACCTGGTTATAAAGATGCTTACATCATTGTGCAGATAAAAACGCTGGTTATAATTTAACAATGTGTCTGAGATTGAGGTCTGAGGTGCCTTGAACCTTGAGATATGTGCTATTTAATAAATGTAATTAATTATTATTATTATTATGTAGGAATACATCTGTTTTGTCTAAGTTTCAAGGATCAGGTAATCTATTGATTAATATTTTGGAGTAATTGAATAGTTGTTTGGTACATATTAACATAATCAGAAGCTAGTGAAAAATGCAAATTACAGGTTTGCAGGGATCACATTGCTTGTTATTTTCGATCATGAGTTTATAACAAAAACATATTTAGTTTAATTATATGAAAGGGAGAAAAGCAGTAAATAGAGTGGGACATTTTGGCCTAATGAATGTCTTGAATCAGAGCAGCCTACTATTAAAATTGTTTGTTTTTTTAACCAGAAGTGAGATGGTTAGTGCTTTTGTATGCGTTTTGAAAAAAATCTTTGTTGGAGACAAACCATTTTCTCATAATGCTGATAAGTGTATCTACATATAAGATTATTAGTAACCGTTGTTCACTAATTACAGTCTGTTGATTAGACGATTGACAAAATGTAAATTGTTTAATTGAAAGCAATTTGATTTGAATGCAATTATCTGCCGGTTTACTTTCAAGTATTTGAGTTAGAGCTGTAACAACTCATCTATAGCTTTATCAGTTGGAAAGCAGAACATTTAGCTGTAACTATTTTGAAAATAGAATTAAAATACATTTTAAAGAAAAAAGGCCAGACAATTCTTCATTCTACCCTTCTCACTTCTGATGATCTACTGTGTTTTGTGATTATAAACTGAATGTTATGGGTATTGGATTGCTCTTAATACCAACAACACACGTTTATTACCATTTCCTAGCATTTCTTTCAAACCAAACGATAAATCAGGAATGAAAATAATTGTTTGGTGCAGCCATGATTTATTTTAAACACATGTGAACACAAGGAAAACACTTCTTTGCCAGTCCATGCGTGCAGACCAGCGTTGAGTCACCAAATGGCAGGAGGTGCAGTGGCTGGTGTGAGGGGGGTGTTTAGCACTTCAGAGGCAGAGGAGCTCACAGGCCCTGAACACAGAGGCGAGGCGGTGGGGGAGGGGGGGCACTGCCCCCAAATGGTGTTTCATCTTTTCCGCTTCCACACTGGGTCGCCTTCATCCCGGCTCTAGGAGTCGGCTTTGAGGGTTTCCTCTGATCCCCCTGGATCCGCCTCTGTCACCGCTCATCCTCCCCGAGCTCCAGTTTGTGTCTCGTTCATGTTCTTGCCATCATTTTCTCTGCTGTTTGTGCATTTTGTCCTTTTTGCTCAGTATTATTCTGGTCCTGCTTATAGTCGATTTACTCAACCCGCTTTTACACTCTGTCTATGCACATTCTGTCTTTGAGTTTTTCACATAGTAATGTGAAACCAGTTTTCAGGATGTGATAAAGGCAAAATCATTTTGGCCTTTTCACTCAATTTATTTTTAATGACATCATATCCGATTATTTTTTAAAACATGTTCCTTCTTTATTGTGGGAAAACAGCTTTGAGGCAATCATGTTGTTATACAAGCTGTGAAAATCAGACTTGCCAAGGAGCTAATGTGAGTTAGATTGAAGCGGTGCATTTCATGGATTTTCTACCAATGTAAGAGATGTGCATCCAGTAAAAACAGTCTGCATCTGCCTGTGAAAATAAAAGCAGGAATCTGTTGGCCGTGTTGTCTGTGTGGACACCTGCTCTGATGCTCAGATGTGGCCAGATTGCAGTCTGCAGGTGTGTCTGTTGAACTAGATTTCACTTTATCTTTCTGTCTCTTAAGGCAGTGATTTTACACACCATAGAATGAGTTTGTATCCAAACAGCACTCCTTAAATAGTGATTGATTCCTGCTGACATAAATTATTTCTTAAAGGCATTTTGTGTGCTTTCTTTTTTTGGCACAATGACATCAACATTCAAAAGGTCACGCAGTATTATATTGGAGAAGATCTGAAGGATTTGTCATCAAGTGAGCATCCTGACTTCTCTGTTTAAAACGTAATTCTACCTCTCTCCGCTCCACCCCTCATTCTCTGGCAGATGTGTAATTTGAGGTTTTCCTTGTCGGTGCTTCTGAGTCACCGGGTCAACCTTGTTCAATCTGTCATTGAGTTACTCAATTATCAGGGGACACGGGGAGTACAGTCGACACTCTGTTCAAGCTGATAGGTCACTTTTAAAGAGGATGTTTTTCTTTCTCATTCATCTCTTCAAAAATAGTTGTTGTTTTATATTATAAAGGTATTTTGCTACAGTCTCTTAAAATCAGCTTAATCATAGATAAAGGTATTCAGTAGATTTTAATCAGACTATTGTATTTTCAAACTGTAACAGTTGGCAGTAATGACACAACTGTTATTCCTGTCATTGACCTCAATTTATATTCATTTGATAACAAATCTAAAAAGCAATTCAGTTTTGAATGTTTATTTGAAATTATTCAGTCACAATTTAAAATATCATATCATTCTGAATGATTTTTTCACACTCGAATCTCAGTGGTTGTTGTGAAGGTATAATATCTTCTCTGAGATATGTTGCTAATGACAATTTGTATCGGATTTTCTGCGGCTCAAATCAGGAGGGTTTTGCATGGCAATTTGGAATTGGTTCATCTTCTTTCCCTTTACTGTTTTATTAGAACATTGTCCTGATGCGTCTTGCTCAGTAGAGCCAGGGTCACAGTTACAGCAACACTAGGGTGGTCCTTAAAATTGAAAGTCGGAAAGTCCAAGCTCCAACCCCCAGAATTCATTCTATTAGTAGAGAAAACTCTCCTGGGGAATTTTTTCCTCAATCTGACAACATTTACCCCTCCCTCATCGACCTTGAGGTTTCACCCTGAGGATCCCAGAGAGACGCTTTTTATCTGGGAATAAATAGAGTTTATAAGGATTAAAATGAAAATGAATAAAAACAATCCTTGAAAACAAGTGCCATTTATTCCCAAAATGTTTGCTTTTAACACACAACAACACAGTGTTTTATTCAGATTCAGATTAGGGCTGCACAATTTTGGGAAAAAAATCTAATTACGATTTTTCTGATAAATATTGCAATTGCGATTCGATTTGCGATATTTGTTTTTAAGCGACCCAACGGAAGTTTATTGTAAAATGCGGCCATTTCTCCGGCTAGGAAGGTCGTATCAACGTGCTCCCGTCTCTAGCACGAGTGAAAGAACTACATTTACATGAAACGTCCGTTGGGTTGCTTTAAAGTCAAGCTTCAGTTTAAGATTCACCCTGTAATAGATGTAAAACATGTGATGGAGCATTACTAACCTGACTCAGATGGTTTGTTTCACCAAACCATCTAGGAAAGCTCCATTGGAAGCCATTTGGAAAGGGCAGGCACTTTCAAAAATACTTGGCAGGTGATTGGATCAATCTGTCTATCACCTTCTATCATGGGCCACTTCTGATTGGTTAACAATGGCTGGTACATGTGGAGCACAGCACTTCTGATTGGTGTGGATGACTAACACACAAGAAGAACAAAAACAATGTAAAAAAAATAATCGCAGGCTTTGCGATTTGATAATCGCATCATTTCAAATTTCGATTTAAAATCGATTAATCGCTCAGCCCTAATTCAGATACTGTTGAATGCCATCTTTGCAATGAATACAAATAGGAACTTAGTGTGGCATTAAAAGTGCTACAGTGTTAAATACTTTTTTCACAAGTGCAGACAAAACAAAACTGAATAATGAATAACAACAACATAAAACAAATCAGTGCAATGGAGTGGACAAATCAGTGTAATGGAGTTGTATACCTCATTACACAGTTAAATGTATTAAACTATAACAAAAATCTTAAGCAAAATGTCTTTCTACCTCAAATACATAGTCCAACTTAGTGCTCCTGCTCCTGCTGGGCTGCCACTCAGCTACTGCAACTAAGGATACACTTCAAGGTTGATGAGGGAGGGGTAAATGCTGTTGGAATTTGAATACAATTCACAAGGAGAGTTTTCTTGACTATGATAACGAATTCCGGTGGTTGGAGCTTAAAATAAATGAATTTGAAAATGTACCTCTCACGAAGGATCACCCTAAGCAACACATGCTTGGTCTGTGGGAAACAAACTGCACTGCATACTGTAGCTTGTTACTAATGGAAACCAAAACAAGACCACTCATTGCTGTGTAAAAAGTCCCCCTCACTTGCTTTTACAGAGAGGGTATTATGCCCGTCTTCTGATTATTTACAAAGGGAATTTCACTCAGTTTTAAGGGCCTTAATCCTCAGAGAAGTGTGGTTTGTTTTTGAGACTGGCTTTCCCAGTATCCCCGGCCTCCTAATTGAATATTGATAGTAATTTCAGGGCAATGGAGGTTTGAGCAGGAAGAGAGAAAATTGGGGCGTCTCCTGCACTGTCATTAGGCTGTGAATTTCTGAGTTGGGTTTGGTCCAAAAGCAACACCAGTTGAGAGGCTATCACAGAGCCCCAATTCCTGCTTTGTTGTTTTT